ACAGGGACMRRRACAGGGAYYAAAACRGGGACAGGGACMARRACAGGGACCAAAACAGGGACAGGGACAGGTTTTATATGCTCGGTTCTCTGCCCTTAGAAGGAAGCTCTTGCTCTCCTGCAAGTTCTCCTACAGATACTGCAGGATCCTCTGTCTGTGGGGTTGGACTGATCCTGAAGGGAATAAGAAACTCTGGGGACCTTCCCTGGTTCCTGGTTCTTGATTTTTCTACCTGGCTGTGCCTTCTGAGTTTTTCCTAGATTTTTCTCCTGGCTCTCTCCAGCAACAAGCCACTGTTCAAAGCTCCRGGCACAATTCCAAACTCTCTGGAGCAGGGATGATTGTACTCTTAGATGCTGCTGTGACACTGATGACAGCAGATGTCCAAAGAGGGAAAAATTATTTTCCATTTAACAGGGAAATGGATTAAAGGGCAGTCAAGGAGTGTTCCTTTGTTAAATATTCAGACAGGRGTGAGGCTTAGGGGCAGAATTTGGGGGTTCTGCTGCTGTGAGGAGCAGAGCCCAAAGAGAGGAGGATAAAGAAATAGTGAGGCACCGGCAGAAAGCTGTGACATGATTTTACCAACCTGCCCCTTCCTTTGGAATTAGGGTTAGGATTAGGGCAGGGGATGGAGAAGGAGGTGCCACCTTTGTTGAGGATCCTCAGAGTGCCCAGGGCCTGCCTGCCCCAGGGGTAAAACATGAACCACCCRTGTGTGCTCAGGCTCAGAGCTCCTTTTTTAGGCCTTACCTGGGTTCTGGGCTGTCKCCCAAAAGAATKTCTTSATTTTTACTTTCAGTSTCTGGAAAATATCTTCGAGGCATCRCTGCAGTCACAGACATGAGGAGAAGAATGGTCACTGTGGGGCTGCCCTGCATTCATCAGTGAAACCCCCATGCCCAGAATCCTGATCCCATGGGTTTATCCAGAGCATCCCAATGTCCCCTCCCATTGTCTGCACTGCCTGTGACAGCCAGGCTGCAGCCTGGTGCTGCTCTGCCACAACCAGGGACCTCAGTGCCACCCCTYACTGTTCAAACATCCTCTGAAAGGGAAACCTGAAGTCACAGATCTGTAAAATCTGGGGCTGAAGTTGTTCCCTCCCTTGCCAACCAGACAGGAGGGCCTTTGAGAGCCAAAGGAAGAGTCACTCTAAAGGGGCTATGAAACCACTGTAAAGAATTGATTTCAGAGATTGAATTCCCTCTCAGGACAGCTGAAGTTGCTCCCAGGTTAAGGAGGAGCAGCACAGCACCCATGGGATCTGCTCCCATCCCTGCTGCTGTTCACAGGGTGGTGGCCATGAGAAGGTGCAAAGCTGTAGGGTCTGGACAGGCAAACACAGGCAAGGTGGGAGATGGGGCTGATGCCTTAGGATTTTTASTTTCTGTATTTTCATGGTTATGTATTCTTGTACTTCTCTAGTGTACAGAACTAAGCTCCTATACTCCCATTTTTAGACAAATCAATTCYTCTCTGGGCCTGAAATCCAAGGACACYTCAYTGCCTCARAGCCCCAAAATATGGAAACAACAGAGAATTGKSGGGAGCAAGCTTGGGGTGGGTGACACAATAATTTGAAGGTATAATTGGAGAATTGGGGCCCAATATGTTCATGAGACAGAACTGATAAAAGGTGAAGATCTTGTGACTCGGGGTCCATTTTGGGAGCAGCCTCAGGAGGAGGTTTTGTCTGCCCACAATGTACCAAAAGGCCTGGATTAAATTTGTCTGCTTTTATTCTGTTAATTTTGTCTGGCCTCTGTTTCAGCTGAGCCTTGTTTCAGGCATCAGGATAAGCAAGCAGAGCTGGGAAAGGAATCAGGAACCTACAAACACCTGGCAGGTCCATACTCACCCCTGGAAACGTTGATCCTGATCTCCTCGATGCGGGACAGCCCCGAGCGCTCCTGCAGCGCACACCAAWACACACCCGAGTCCTGTGCCTGCAGCTGCTCCATGGTGACAGTGACAATKCCCTGCTTGGGGTCATCCTGGATGTGGACATCACCTTCCCGAGCTGGCCCTTGTCCCTCTGGGGGCTCTGGGCTGGTGGTGGCCAGCACGTTACAGGGTTTCCCCATTTCCTTTTTGCACCAGGCTTTGCTCACTGCTGCGTACTCCGGGATCTTGTACTGGCACTGCACGGAGATGTTGCCTGCTTCCTTGGCTGTGTGCTGCTGGGTTCCTRGAACACACCCGGGGTGTGGGGTGAGACCCCAAAAGGGGGATCCCACAGCAGCATCCCCTCCCCAGCAATGGGATA